CTGCCAGCCCCACCGTCGGCCACGCTTCAATACTCTCTCTCCTCTTCTCTTTCGACCCGACCTGCTTCTTATCGAGACCCCTCGGCCTTCTCCCCTCCTCCTCACTGGAGCCTGGTAAGGAAAACCAGCTGAGTCGAGGGGAGGAAGCCAAGGTGTCTCTTTAAGAAGCAGCTCCAGTCGGCTGGAAAGAGGAGACAAGAGAGAGTATTGAAGCGTGGCCGACGGTGGGGCTGGCAGGCCGCCGCTGACTGTGCGCTGCGAGGCAGGAAGTGTGACACTGAGAGCACAGGAAGTGGCTGCTGTGGAGCTATGCTAACCCTTTCGTCCAGCAGCTTCAGGGGGCTGGGATCACTTCACTGTCAGTCAAATAGAAGCTGTTCTTCATTTACTAACAATAGGGGATGGCTGTCCTTTTGAGGTTTTTGTTTTTCTTTGTCAAGTGATGTATGAAGGCCTTTATGAATATATTTCAGAATGCATTTTGAGGATAATTCACTTTCGGAAGGTGAATTGAATCGGAATCGATGGAATGTATTGAGAAGTGCATGAAACAGAAGGGAAGCAGCAGCATACGCTCATTTGCTTCTGTGATTCTGTCTGAATTCCCTCTAATCTCCCCTCATTTCCTGCCTATCTTGTCTCCTCAGTTGTCCCTCCTCATCTTTTACTTCTTCTTTGTTGTCGTGCATGTTTTGAACTGACCACTGTTTCTCCTGCTGCAACACAACTGAGTGAACAGTCACTCCTCTGCTCATTGAGGGCTCTCCTTTTCTTTCCTCCTCCCAAGTTCACAGAGGAAGTACGGCGTGTAATCGACCCTCAACGGTGATCTCAGACATCGCTGTCTTTAAGTAGACGATCCCTTCAATACGACAAATACACTCATTTATCTGACATGGTGATTAAATGTCAAAACATACAGAAAACTATCTGGTCTGATGTGTGATTCAATTAAAAATGGATGATGGAGATGCAAACATGCACCGGACATGTAGTTCCTTTTAAATGAAGGTTAATTATTATGTATAATAATGCATACAAATAGAAGTTTGCAACCAGTTGCTGCATTTGATTATAATTTTGAAAAGTATGTCTGATAAAATAGAACAGATGTAAAAAGTTCTCGGTGGATTAATGCACTCTGAATGTGGTGGATTAGTATTTCCACAGTTTATAAAACCTTGTTTCAGTCCCCCCCCTCCCCTCCCTCCCCCAGGTGGGGAACTGAAAAAGTGGAAGTGTGTGTGTGTGTGTGTGTGTGTGTGCTGTATATAAGGTTTGTGTAAGTTGAAGTGGGACTTCTCAGAATGTGGGATGTCAGTTTAGAGGAAGAGGAATCAAGAAATTCTACTCGGTGCATGATGATTGTTTTTAAAAACCAGATGTTTAGACGCTGCTAATCTTCTGCTTTTCTCTGTTTCCAGTTGTATGTGGCTGCTCTTCACGTTCTGTATTTGTATAAGGAATGAACTAAGGTGCTTCTTCTACTGTCTTCTGAACATACTGCTGATTCTTCTATGGACACAGATTGAGTAAGTAGTGATATTTCCTTTTCTTTTGACCACTGAGAGGTGTTCACCATGTTCTCAGGTGTGATGAAGTGATGTGTTAGAAAGATGTCTGATATGTAGTGCTGCATTCGATCAGAGGACTCCAGCCCAGTCTTGTTTAATACACAGAGAGTTAGTTTCCTGTGTGTGAGGCTGAAACGATTCGGTGATAAATCATTTGGTTGATTGACAGAAGATCAATCTGCAGCTTTTTCCATGATCGATTAATCGTCATTTTTCCATCAAAAGATGCACGTAGTATTTCTAAATGCTAACCCCCATGAGAAGGTAGATGTTGAGCATGTGCTCATTACTCAGAGCTACTACTGAGCAGGCTTTCCTTGTTCATAAACGTCTAGGGAAAGTGATTATGGCAACGTGATGTCATCAGTCCTTAAAGTCAGAGTTGGTAATCTTCTATCAAAACAATTTTTTCTTATATTTTTGTCTCGACAGCAATTGATAAAGATTTTTTTGTTGACAAAATAGTCGCAGGACTTTAATAAGCCTGTCCAATCATTTAACTCGGCCCAAATATAATGACTGGACGGCTACCTGCTTACCTGTGTACCTGTGTACCTGTTTACCTGTGTGTGTTCTGCCCGTGCAGTACTAGCAGTTGTCATGTTGGTTGTTTACGTTCATAATGATCATTTTGGGGGGAGGCTTTGGAAGGAGGCCTGAAGGGGGACGGGCTGTCAGTGTTGACGACTAGCCGACTTTCTCGCTGTTAAATATTACGACTTTTTGCAGCTAATGCTGCTAGCTACCTTCATTGGCAAATAGTTTGCAGAACTGTGCTGGTTTGAGCGTATACTCTTGCTGCTTTTCCCATGAACCCCAGCTTTAGGTGATAGTTCTAAAGCTAGTAGTTCAGCAATAAGAGCAGATGCACAGACTAAAGGGTCTTTAATGGTATGTTGATATGAAGGTATGTTGTGACCCAACATCTCTATTCATCAGAGATATTAGCTGACAGATGTAATGTCGGCATGTATAGTGTTTCATTGCCATGTTTGAAATTGATTTGATTCGTCACAGTGTATAGTGTATAGATGTATGGAGGGCTTTGTTGGTGTTTATTTAGCCTTCCTGGCTCGTCACCTGAGATAGATAGAAGGACGAAACATGCAACATGAGCATGAAATCGAATGGGCCTCAGTGGTAGCTGCTCATTTTATTGTAAATGATCAGAATTCCAGAATGTGGGAGTGAAACTCTTTCCATTGCACCAGGTAAATCACACAAAACAGGTTTTAGGAAATAATTCACCTTTTGAGCAGAGTTTGTTTGCACACACACGAGAATGTAAAACATCCAGATGATGACAAAATAAGAAATATGTCAGGAGAGGTCCAGAAGCCACAGGGTTATACAACCGACCTTCTCTCAACCGAGAAAACAAACTAAACTTAGAAAAATACAACAAAAAATAATACTTTGTCCATATTTAAACATACTTAGGTCACATCTGGTTACACAGCACATGCGTATATTAAGAGAGGAAACACACACACACACACACAGAATCCTTGTTAGTAAGACAAATACACGAGGACCTTTCTACAGAAGACACTCATCTGTTTCAGCATTAATTTCTTTATTTGAAGAATGTTCAAGAGGTAGAATTAACCTGCTGAGTCAAAGTCTAAAACAGCAATAGAGCCACATCTGTTACCAGATACGTGTGTGTGTGTGTGTGTGTGTGTGTGTGTGTGTGTGTGTGTGTGTG